AGTTTTAAAATAATCGCCTTTTTATTGCGAACAATTTGATACCAAAATGAGCGACGTAGCACGAAATTTGATGTTATCAAATTGAACGAGTTGAACATTAGGTTGCAATGTACAAAATGGTGCTCGTTCACGGGTAACTTTAGGCTTTTCTGCGGGGAGGCACTCCAGCCTTTTGTACATTTTATTCATACACATCTGTAGGGAATTTAATTGCGAACACAATGATACCAAAACGAGCGACGTAGCACGAGAATTAAGGTAAAAAAATGGAACGAGAATGCACATGTTACTGATTTTGTGCGTTTTTGCCGACTTTACGCTTTGCTGTTGGGAGTCACGCTAGGCTTTTGGACATTATATTTATACACACCTGTAGAGAATTTAATTGCGAACACAATGATACCAAAACGAGCGACGTAGCACGAGAATTAAGGTGATAAAGCTGGAACGAATATACACATTTGGGTGTCACCGCGCGCTTACCCGCATGGAGGGGCCACCTACCCCCTGTCAACCGCGAGTTTCCACGGAGCGCGAAAGTGTTAAACACCACTACAAGAGGATGTTTGCCAGACGTCTTAATAATCAGCTTAGAACACTTAAGGACTTTTATAAAGTCTTCACAATAAAGTCAGCTATCTGGAGTATTGCTAGTGCATGGGATGAGGTAAAGCAGACAACACTAAGAAATGGTTAGAAAAAACTTTGGCCCGCGTCAAGTCTGTTTGCTGAGGAAGATGACGAGGCAGATTTTGAAGGATTTGCGGTGAAGGAAGTTAGCGAGAAGAAAAAATTAAGAGAGGAACTCCTAGCCTATGTCAAGGGGATTAAGTCCCCTGAGATTAGAGCAGAACTGGTGACTGAAACAATAGAAGATGACATAGATAGATGGATAGATTTTGATGAAGAAGCCCAAACAATCGAAACATGACTAATGATGAAATTATAGAATTAGTATGTACAGCAAAAAAGCCAGACGAGTGCAATGAAGAAGATGGAGAGGAAGAGGAAGAGGAAGAGGATGAAGAAACGTTAAAGGAAAAATGTGATATGGAAAAAGTTCAGCAAAATTTTGAATACATTCTGGCATTTATGGACACGAGTTACACAGAGTTTGAAACTAAGGACACGATGACTCTGTACAATATGTATATGAAGTTTTTAAAAACAAGAGCCAAGGGAATGAAACAAATGGGGCAAATGAAACGAGGTGGGGCCTCGTAGCCTGGTTGTGGGGCCTCGTAGCCTGGTGGATAGCGCGCAGGACTCGTAATTCGGTGGCGCGGGTTCGATTCCCGCACGAGGCAGAAACAAATGGGCAAAGTTTCTTTCACCCTAAGTGTCCTTGTTACCTAGCAGTAAATAGGTACCTGGGAGTTAGTCAGCTGTCACGGGCTGCTTCCTGGGGTGTGTGTGTGTGTGGTGTGGGGAAAAAAAAAAAAGTAGTTAGTAAACAGTTGATTGACAGTTGAGAGGCGGGCCGAAAGAGCAAAGCTCAACCCCGCAAAACACAACTAGTAAACACAAATGTCAATTACAGAGTCTTTTGCAATGGCTTCCAAGAAAGCTCGCATTGCATCACCTGCACCTGACTCATCGCATGTTGACGCAGTCAACCCAACAACTTCAGTCAACCCAACAACTTCAGTCAATCCAACACCATCAACATCCACCACCACCTCTTCCATGTAAATAACTATGCTTCATCAACATCGATCATCAACATAAGCGGATCAGGACTTAAATTATTGGTGAGTACAAACAAAATATGGTCACGCATTTACGCTATGAACCTGTCGATTTTTCCCGCTGGATTTTTTCACATTTTTTTTTTTATATTTTTTTCCTCCATTTCTCTTATACGAACTTACATGTTAACCGACGGGTCTCGTCCCCAAGGGGTTCGGAAACCAAGTGGTGCTCTGTATAATGAAACTCCATTTTCTGGGTGAGACCTGGAGGCTCCTCGGCATCCCTCCCTCCCTCTGGTCGGCAGTTTTTCGCATGTTTTAACATCCAGCTTAAGAACTGGGGGTGGATAGCCCGCATGAAAGGTCTGGGGCTACCCCTTCCCCCCTCCTGGGGAGGGGGGAGAGCTGTGCAAACAGCGATGTGTGACATTATGATCGTTTGCTTATTTCTTTTAGGGGAGTTCTATCTGCTTGTTCGGCTTGTGGTAGCAACAATTTCACCAGAATAGGGGTTTATTTTGGGATGCTTACCTTTCTGGGTGCCTGACCCGGTTGATGGCAGACATAGAATGCTTCCAACCACACGGGAGTTTCTATAGGTCATTGCTCCCCTTGCCTCTTCTGAGGGGGGCCAGGTTCTGGCTCGTGGTCCCCAGTAGGCCCACAGAACTCCATATACATGACTGATGCCAAAGTCTGACATTAGCATATCAGCCTAATAAGCTCCGGGGAGCCTCCGGGTCGCACCCAGAAAATGGCATTTCATTGCATTCAACGCTGGTATTTTCAAAGTTCTTTGGAGCCTCTCGGTGTTTGCCTCGACGCTCCGGCCTGTTCCCGTGATGTGGGTCTTGTGCAGCTACATGCTTGGGTGAACGCAAAACTTTAGTGCCCGTTCACACTTGGCTTCGGTCATGCATTTCCTGAGCCTCCTCGAGCTTCATTCTGATTGGCTTGAGGAGGATGTTGGGATGCTCGGTGTGGTCCCTCGTGTGGGGGGGGGGGGCCTTGGTTACCTCTGTTGCCCTCCATAAGCAATATGCTCCAATCCTCAAGGAGGTGATTTTTTTATTTTTCATCTCCAGTTCTGCATGTTGGCAATCCGTAATGGCCTAGTCTTTGGAATCGGCATCGGCATGGCCTTGGCTCTCACTTCTGCTTCCCCTTTTTGTCCTTTGTTGTTTCCTGAGGACACTATCTCTCAGTTCTTGTCTGCTGCAGCAGTTCATTGCTGTTCTGTGTTGAACTTGTTGTGTGTGTTCATGTGGGTCATTGTTGTCTTTTGCAGCAGTCTGGTCGAGCCAGGGTGTCGCCTGCTGTTAGTCAAGGTGGGTCCTCTGTGGTGCCTGCAGCTGGGCCGGATGTGTGTCCCCAGGCTTCATCAGGCTTCGTCTAGTTGGCGCAGAGATTGGTTTGCATGAGGTTCGCGACCCTTTTGTGGGTTGCCTCTTTGACTGAGTGGTGGGGGGGGGAACGATAGCTCTGTTTGCCAGCTCTTGGCCCAGTACTCTGTGGGCATTTCAGGTCGTTTCTTACGGCATGCTGTGTAGTTATTTGGTCCTGCCTCCTTCAGGGGGTTGGGGTATTTGCGGCAGGCCACCTCTCCTTGCCTTCGTTGGGTCATCTCGGAGTTGGCAGCTAAAGCCTGGTCAAAACGACTTCGTCTCTTCAGTGGTTTCCCACCAGTTTCCAATCCCAAAATGGGATTTTTCGGATCTCTCATTCATTCTCTACCTATTCTGCTTGAACCGGTTTATTCCTTGTTCCTTCTTTCGGATGACTTTATTGTTCCAGTTCCCTCTTGGATGATTTCCAAAAATAGACCACACACATCTTACAAATTATGTGGAAAGGAATTATAGAACTCTAATAAAGAAAGATATCTAGGGGTGGTTTTGGATAGTAAACTGTCATCTGAGGAACACTGAGAGAAGCGTATACATCGCTTTCCATCTTCAGACGAACTTCGATTGAAACAAGTTGAGACCAAAACCGTCAGTAGTTTCAAAGGGTTATACGACAAAGAGAAAGATAAGTATTCACTTATTTTCATGTTTTTCCTGTATTTTGCATGCAAATTAATCATTTTACAATGAAAAAAAAATTTTAAATTATTTTTTGCAAATAGGCAGGAATGACCATTTTGCTATAGCCAACTCTAAGTATGCTGTTGTGGATGACTGCTGGAGGGTACGGGTGCTTGTTTTTACTGTGGTGCTACACAAAGTTTAGCACACACACACACACACACACACACACACACACACACACACACACACACACACACACACACACACACACACACACACACACACACACACACACACACACACACACACACACACACACACACACACACACACACACACACACACACACACACACACACACACACACACACACACACACACACACACACACACACACACACACACACACACACACACACACACACACACACACACACACACACACACACACACACACACACACACACACACACACACACACACACACACACACACACACACACACACACACACACACACACACACACACACACACACACACACACACACACACACACACACACACACACACACACACACACACACACACACACACACACACACACACACACACACACACACACACACACACACACACACACACACACACACACACACACACACACACACACACACACACACACACACACACACACACACACACACACACACACACACACACACACACACACACACACACACACACACACACACACACACACACACACACACACACACACACACACACACACACACACACACACACACACACACACACACACACACACACACACACACATATATATATATTCCTGTAACTTGTTTGACCCTTAGACGGTGGTTATCTAAGGTGGTTGGCTCTGCTGGGTTAAATCCTTATTTGCATCATACATATAAAATCCAGAAAATAATTATTTCTATCTTCATATGATCCACATTATCCTGTGAATCAACATATGATAACCACTGTCTAAGGGTCAAACAAGTTACAGGAATGTGTGTGTGTGTGTGTGTGTGCTAAACTTTGTGTAGCACCACAGTAAAAACAAGCACCCGTGCCCTCCAGCAGTCATCCACAACAGCATACTTAGAGTGCTCCTTATGAATTGTCTTGTACAGTACAAGTAATACATTCTTCACAAACTACTTTCAACCATCCTTGTATGTATTTAAAAAATAAGTTCACAGTTTGCATTGAACCAGGAGTGTTTTCAGTCTACAAGTATATGTTACCCAACAGGTAAAACAGGAGATGCGGCTGGAGGGGAAGAGCATCCTGCAGTACCGATGCGCTGCACTTGTTCGCGAAATTACTGAAATGGTGGTTCAGACAGACAGTGAAGAATATCTTAACCAGTTGGAAGAACAACTTAGGGGCATTTACAATGCTGTAAGAAACACTATACCCATTCAGGATATTCATTTTAGGTGAGTAATATCATATTGATGCAATGCCATCTGATCTTGTCCTTGACCTATCGTCAACTTAAGAGTTTCCAGTATCACAAGTACTTAGATGTTTAGCAGTATTAGTTGAAGTAATGAATATGGTACTGTTCTAATTGATATAATGAATGTGCTGCTATATTAGTTGGTGTGATAATTGTGCAGCTGTTTTAGTTGATGTATGTGCAGCTGTTTTAGTTGATGAATGTATAGCTGTTTTAGTTGATGTATGTGCAGCTGTTTTAGTTGATGAATGTGTAGCTGTATTAGTTGATGAATGTATAGCTGTATTAGTTGATGAATGTATAGCTGTATTAGTTGATGAATGTATAGCTGTATTAGTTGATGAATGTATAGCTGTATTAGTTGATGAATGTATAGCTGTATTAGTTGATGAATGTGCAGCTGTTTTAGTTGATGAATGTGTAGCTGTATTAGTTGATGAATGTATAGCTGTATTAGTTGATGAATGTGCAGCTGTTTTAGTTGATGAATGTGCAGCTGTATTGATGAATGTATAGCTGTATTAGTTGATGAATGTATAGCTGTATTAGTTGATGAATGTATAGCTGTATTAGTTGATGAATGTGCAGCTGTTTTAGTTGATGAATGTGTAGCTGTATTAGTTGATGAATGTATAGCTGTATTAGTTGATGAATGTGCAGCTGTTTTAGTTGATGAATGTGCAGCTGTATTGATGAATGTATAGCTGTATTAGTTGATGAATGTATAGCTGTATTAGTTGATGAATGTGCAGCTGTATTAGTTGATGAATGTGCAGCTGTTTTAGTTGATGAATGTGCAGCTGTTTTAGTTGATGAATGTGCAGCTGTTTTAGTTGATGTATGTGCAGCTGTTTTAGTTGATGAATGTGTAGCTGTATTAGTTGATGAATGTCCAGCTGTATTGATGAATGTGTAGCTGTATTAGTTGATGAATGTGCAGCTGTTTTAGTTGATGAATGTGCAGCTGTTTTAGTTGATGAATGTGCAGCTGTATTGATGAATGTATAGCTGTATTAGTTGATGAATGTATAGCTGTATTAGTTGATGAATGTGCAGCTGTATTAGTTGATGAATGTGCAGCTGTTTTAGTTGATGAATGTGTAGCTGTATTAGTTGATGAATGTATAGCTGTATTAGTTGATGAATGTGTAGCTGTATTAGTTGATGAATGTGTAGCTGTATTAGTTGATGAATGTATAGCTGTATTAGTTGATGAATGTGCAGCTGTATTGATGAATGTGTAGCTGTTTTAGTTGATGAATGTGCAGCTGTTTTAGTTGATGAATGTGCAGCTGTATTGATGAATGTATAGCTGTATTAGTTGATGAATGTATAGCTGTATTAGTTGATGAATGTGCAGCTGTATTAGTTGATGAATGTATAGCTGTATTAGTTGATGAATGTGCAGCTGTTTTAGTTGATGAATGTGCAGCTGTTTTAGTTGATGAATGTGCAGCTGTGTTAGTTGATGAATGTGCAGCTGTATTAGTTGATGAATGTGCAGCTGTGTTAGTTGATGAATGTGCAGCTGTTTTAGTTGATGAATGTGCAGCTGTGTTAGTTGATGAATGTGCAGCTGTATTAGTTGATGAATGTGCAGCTGTATTAGTTGATGAATGTGCAGCTGTTTTAGTTGATGAATGTGCAGCTGTATTAGTTGATGAATGTGCAGCTGTATTAGTTGATGAATGTGCAGCTGTTTTAGTTGATGTATGTGCAGCTGTTTTAGTTGATGTGATGAATGTGCAGCTGTATTAGATGTGATAAATGTGCTGTTGTATTAGTCGATGTAATGTATGCATTGCTGTATTATTTTATGTATGTGCTACTGTATTAATTGATGTAATGTATGTGCTGCTGTATTGGTATAGTGTATGAGCTGCTGTATGATTTGATTGTTGTGACCTTGGAAATTCTGGAAGTGCCGGACTCCCCACTCTCAATAATGAGCACTTTTGGCCCTAAGTAAGCATGTCAAGAGTAAGGGAAAATCTAGGGTAAAAGACCACCAGTTTACTGCGTGATTTCATAACAAGAATATGAAATTACCTTTGCTCTCGATGAGGCTCTGGTAGCTTCGGGAGTTAACCCCTTGCAATTTGGGTTCCGAGGTAGTTGAGCCCGTTCTTTCTGCCGAGGCTTCCGGTTCATCCCAGCCGCCTTCCTTCTCGAAAGTCTTTCCCTTGGGCTCCACCTTTTCTTCACGGGTAGTGGGCGTGGAAGCGGGGTTTTCCCGGGGCTGCGGTTGAGGGTTTTTGGGACGCGGGGAAGTCCACTTGGAGTAATTGGACTCCTTTTGAACCTGCTTGAGCCTTTGTGCTATCTGGGCAGAGTTTGTTACTTTATGGTAAGGGGTTTTCATACCCCCTCCCTCCCCCCCCCCCCTCTCCCTGTATGAGTTTGAGTTTGGTGCGGTTTCTTCCCGGATGCATTTCCTGGAGCCTTTGGGTTCCTTGAATTCGTCTTTCCGGAGGTTTCCTTCTCCGATTTTCCCTCGGGAGGTTTAGGAGGCCCTTGGTGCTGACCTCTGAGACCTGGATTATGCCTTTGTAATGGAGCAACCCCTTTTGAGTTCGGGGTCTTCTTATCTGTATTGGGTGCATTGTGAGGTTCCCGAGTTTTCCTGGCTGGCAGACTCCTTTTTTCTCCTTGGGGGCTTGGCATATTTTCTGTCGTACCTGTGCACTTGAGTGGTGGGAGGAACACCTGCAACACCACTGTGTTGCAGGTGTTTTGGGGGGAGGGCTCTCTTGAGTTTCTCAGTGATTGCCTCTTTGCTTTCCTGTGATGTTGGTCAGGAGCAGTTGCATGCTCAGGTGCCCACTCTTTCGACTGCTTTGACAGCGGAGAACCATCGAGCTCGTGGTCATTTGGCTTTGGTGTTGCGCCTCTTCGGTCGTCTGGAGTTGTCTTCGAATTGGCGTTTGGAGGATATGGGGGTGTTGAGTGAGGGGCCTTCAGCAGCGGTTTTGGTCTCGGTAGCTGAAGCGTTGTCTGCCTTGTTTAACCCTTAACATGCTCGGGGTCTAATATCCTGCTATTTACACAGGCGCATGTCATAGGCACATAAAAAAAAAAAATTATTTTTTTTTCTAAACCTGTTAATTTCTGTTCACTGATCACGGGAAAAATAAAAAAAAATATCTAATTTTTTTTCACTAATTGTGTTTCAAATACTGTTTGAACATATTTTGTATCAATAATTGTTGCATATTTGAGTATACACAGGCGCACACAAATGTTTTCAATTACGGCAATATAATATGTCATTACAGTCTATTATATTATATGTTCTGCTTATATGTTTACATATTTACACACTCGCACACGCTATACACACTTTGAAGCACACTTAGAAGATTTCTAGACTGTGGTAGTCATTGAAGCAGTCGACAGCACATAATGGGATACCACACGTTTCACACCATGTTTGCACAAGCTTCCGTTTCTTGTCTCTACGTGTCGTTGTTTTACACACCAAGCAATCACGTTGGGCTATTGCACGCTTCACACCAGGTGGCAAATACTTAAGTTTGTGTGCTAGGAAGCCTTCAGTGTGAGCGAGGCGTGGAGTACCAGCATGCTGCAACAGTGGGTTTATGATGGGCCGCTGAATACCTGGGACATCTTTTGCAAACTTTCCTAATAACTGTATTGCAGCATCAAATACAAAGTCACGGAAAGTGGGCTTACGTCCAGTTCTCACAAGGTACATGTTGAAACAGTTCAGCATGCTCATGTCCACAAGATGGAAGAACACTTTTTTCGTCCACCTACATGTCTTCCGCACACACTCTGCAGTGCCAATCATCATGTCTGATTTATCAATCAACCGCATGTTGATATTATAGTCTAAAACACAGTCTGGCTTATATAGTGGTGCGTTTGTTTTATGGCTCACATTCCCACTGTTCACCATTGTTCCATCATGAATTGTTGTCAACAAGTTCACCTCTCTTTTGTCTTTCCACCGAACTGACAGAATGTTATCACTTTTCCTTCTCTGACACTCACCAACTGCAATGTCGTTGTCAAACACAGGCATTTCCCTTCGTTGTGGCTTTACTGTACCAACCAATCCGGTTCTATTTTCTAGCAAGAACCGAGCTAGCAAGGGACTTGTATAGTAATTATCTGTGTATAAAATGTGTCCCTTGTTCATCCACGGAGCCATGATGGTCTTCACTACACTCCCCGAGAATCCATGTTCGTCGTTACCGGGAATGTCTACATCACTAGCCGAGTACAGAATCATGTGTAACACGTATCCTGTCTCACAATCACAAAGAACAAAAAATTTCAGGCCAAATCGGTTTCGTTTTGAGGGAATGTACTGTTTGAATGGAACACGTCCCTTGAAAAGTATGAGAGATTCATCAACCACCAGCTTCTGTGCTGGTACGTAAAAATCTCTGAATTTTCCAATAACATCGTTCATGTAGTGCCTCACTCGCCACAGTCTATCATCAGGTGTTCGGTCCTGAACACTTCCAAAATGTAGACACCTGAGGAGTATCTGAAACCTGTCTCGTGACATATATTTCCCGAATAAAGGTGTTGGTATTGTCTTGTCCTTGCTCCAATAGTCATTTATTGCATGTTTGTGACAGTGCTTCATCAACAAACAGAGTGCCAAAAACACATACATTTCCGCCACTGTGGTATTTTTCCAACGCTGCAGTCGTGAAAATTCTGTGATTTCCCTCTCAATCAGGTAAGCAGCATGCAGGTTCGTTTGGTGTACAATATATTCCATGAGTGGTTCATCATAGAATGCTGTAAAATATTCCATCTCAGCCATGTCCTCACCTTGATTAGGGAAAAGGTTTGTAATCCCTACATCTTTATCGTCAAAGTGAGGAATATTAGGAATAAAATCGTCACCATCACTCCACTCAAGTACACCAGGCGTCCTGCGAGATGCAGAGGAAAGACGGCGAGGAAGCGATGCATACCGGCGACCAGGAGCTGAATACC